TTGCACTTATATTGGCACACTGTATAAAGTTTTACAGCCAATCTTTCATACTGATAACAGTTCTAAAGTTGTTGATATATTTGTGTAAGTGGAAGTACTGCATTTCAAAACTTGGTAACCTTACCAAAATATCACAAAATTCTCAAAGTATCGTGAGAATTTGCGAAGATTTTGCTAATTTTTGTTGTATAGAAAAACGAAGGTAAATAATGTGAAAATACCTCAAACTCCTGCATTCTATGCAGAATGTTTAAGGAATTCTAACACTGAACAAATTAACATGGACGGTACAATCTAGAATACACATTCTCTTAATATATATTTGAAATGACTCATTAAATGATTAAATATGGAGTTTTTGATTGCCAAATGTAATTTTTTCAAGAAATTAGGCAGAATAAAAAAATTCCTTGAAATCTCGAAACAGCGCTACTTTCGCCGTTTTTAGTAAATCAACGCGAAACGCCAAAACGAAATTAATAGCCCTTCTGGAAAAATTGCTCCTTTGGCCTAAAAACGAAAACTCAAAACACTTAAAACGAAAGCTCTTAAATCACCATCTAAATTTTTACTGATGAAACAAATACAAAGAAAGAGCAAAAAATTTAAATTTTAATCACCATAAGGTAATCCTCCTCTGAGAATTCGCCGCGTCTTAGAATTCTTTTTTTCGACAATTTTAGTTAAAAAAAATTCTCGCATAAAAGCTCATAATGCAATCTGTTGTTCTTTGAAGTTAATTTTAATCAGATTCAAGTTACTATATATTTATTTTCCTTAACGCAAACTGTCATCACTTTTTTGTAATTGTTTTTATTTCTGCAATCTGCAAATAACTTTAACTTTCAGTTACGCTGATTGCCAAATTCTAAAAGTAAAGGAGACGCTGGTATAGACTTTCAGTTATAGACTATTTAGTGAGTGAAATACATACATTGTTGATTTGACATTTTTTCAAGATTACACAGCCAGGCATTTGAAGTTAGAGACTTTAAGTAAGATGATATTAAACCGAAAAGTCGAACTTTGGACATTTTATATAACATGAAAGCTAAAGGAACAGTAAGGTCCGTGAAGTAGAAAAAATCCCAGCATCCTCACTGTAACTATATGACCATCCTAGGGTGATGACTTATAGCATCATCACCCTACGAGAGGGAAGGTGAGAACGTAACTTATAGCACATCCAAAAACTTTAACTACAGAAAAATTTGCAGCATTTCTAATTTTGTAAGATAAAGATTCAAACTCTAACTATTTCAGAAATTAAAATAAAATGAAAATAAAAATAAAAGAAAGAAAGAAAAAAATTAAAATCTGAAGCCTTTCAGATTTTATATTACGCCCAAACGGGCGTTATTTCATTTACATTTCGAGAGCACGTTACACACGTTATGCACACGTTTCGAGAGCATTTGGCCTATTGACACATTGGGCTAAAAATATTTAAAAACAGCATATCGTTAGAATTTTCGATAGACAGTCTCGCGCGCTGGAGATAAAAACGCCTTATTCCCAAACTTGAAATGCAAATAAAAAGGACTCTGTTGAACATATTGTTACGAAATGCCCAGCTGTGGTAAGATAGTTTCTCCACAAGGCAGGTTTAGGGTTGCCAGAGAATGCCAATAGAAGAGAGGGTTGCCATATTTGGCGCGAAATCGTCCATTTGGCGATATTTGGCGGTAAAATTGTTTATATGCCATGGACGGATGGAGAACATTCTAGAACGAAAACTTATGGGTTTAGCCCAGAATGTTCTCGAAGGCAGCCGGAAAGCTATATATACCCTGCTGTTACGCGGAGTAGTAGTAGTGTTTCGTAATTTATCGAGTGGATCGCGAGTCTATCGAGTGTCTCGTAGCCTAGTGTCGAGGTGTCTCGTCAGTGTATCTCGAGTTGATCATCGAGAGTGTGCATCGTTAAGGCCAAGAGTGTGCATCGTCGAGTGCATCTCAGGCTGTAGCGTGGAGAGTCTCGAGAGTACGTTGAGTTCCGAGAACGACCGAACCGAGTCGGGAGCTGTACTCTAGTGCTTTGCCGTGAAGCTGTCTTCACCGTTAAAGCCTGATATTATGAAGGCTGTGTTGCTGACTGTTTTAGCGTGCTTGCCGCAGTTTTTCGACGACTGTAAACCTGGTTTTGAAACTGTCCTGAGAATACTGGCTAAATAAATTGTATTTCCATTCTTCATTAAGAGTTGTCGTGAATCACTCCAAATCCACGAACCTCTAAGAACGTAACAATATTGGACACAGGTTTTTAACTGTAAAGCTCGGATTATTGCATAGACGCATAAAACAATATAAGATTTTTGGGTATCTTTAGAATTTTTACCTGGACTGGTCCGTGAAAATCAACTCCACATATTGCAAATGGAGGTGATTCTTAAATTTTGTCTTTAAATAAGGCATCCGTCATCTGGACTGCAGGCTTGGCTAAATATTTCTGACAAACAAACAAAATTTAACATCATTTTAACTAACAGGCATTCTTTAGGAACCCAGGAACGATTTCTAAATTCCGCTAAAGTGCCATTAGCTCGTTTATGTATTATCTGTTCGTGATTTTTTGGATACAATTAGTATTGTCAGTCTGGAACTTTTGGACAGGATAAATGAATGCTTACTGTCTAGGGATAAGTCGGAAATTCCAGTCTTCCGCTCTATCTCATGATTTTCTTTTCATCATTGTGTGGGAGAAAATTATACGAAGAGGAATTTTTTTCAATCAAATTACCTTCGTTTAAAATTATACTTCTTCGGCAAGAAAACTTCTTTTGTTTGGATAGTATCTAGAAATTTTCTGCTTCTTGTAACTCTTCAGTTATTAGAATTCCTTGAACCTCGGAGCAATGAGACCTATTGTATAGGCAATGGTCGCTATGTTTCGATATGTGGAAGAGATCAGTTTTACTTTTGACTGCATATTCAAGTTGACATATATCACTGGACTGCTTTCAGTATTCCAGTTGTCTTCATCTGTTTTTCTGTGGAAGCCACGGTTGACCTTGCGTCGAAATGGGCTCTTTTCTTAACTTTTTGAATTCCATTCTCTGCGATACGAGATCTCAGATTTGTCTATACCTGGGAAGTAATGCCGATCTTGAAATTGTAAGTATTTTAAGTTTTACTAACGTTTATTTCATTTTAAAATTTTGCTATGCTCTCTTATTTTCCATTTCCGGCCAGAATAAGCGCGAGAAGAATTGTTTATGTTAATGAGGTTGCAAACTGTACGTGATTTTAGCCAAGGGATACCCCCCTCCTGGGGCTCGACGTAGAGTACTCTGCGAAGTACTGGCTAGGATCTGTACTTACGCAGTCTCAGCCACGGGGGTATAAAATTTATGAACTGGGCGGTCCCCGATGGTCCATGGGGTGGGTCTATACTCACTCTTCATGGGCCGGGAGGTCTAAGTCCTCATCCACCAGGGTATTGGTAGCCAAATAGCAAACTGAACCATTGAGAGTATGGTCACTGCGGCCCTTTGTATTCCATGTAAAATCTAAGGAGAAAGGGCATCCCGTGTAGTGCTGGCAGGTAGCCATCTGCCCACCCCACCGTGGTCTCAGTCTGGCTGGGACGGTGGTTCTGACTGGCCCGTGTTTAGCGGTGGGTTCAGCTAAACTTGAGTGTTTGGCAGAGGGAGCTTAAAATTGTTGGTGTCTCGGGGATTGTGGGACCCCGGGCCCAGCCAGGTGTGTCTAAAGTGATTTTGGTGACTCTTTCTGGTATTTGATACCAGACTCCGAATGTGGTTTAGTTCACGAGTGGTGGTATAGATATTAGTTAGTTAGTTAGCCTAGGGAAGAGAGTGCCTTCTTGCTGCCCTGCCAAGCGTGTGTTTTTCAGTCAACTCATATCTGCCTTTTAAGACCAGAACTAGTTCGTGGCGATATACTAAGACGCATTTTCTAAAATACATACGTAGTGTCAAAAGGCCAATCTACGCGTTGCTAGTCTCTGTAAAGCATTTAAGATTAGTTCTTGTTAAGTTAGTTTATTTCTTATTTTCTACGTTTTAGACCAAAAGTGCTGGTCTCTGTATCCCGAAGTGTGGGAGTGACTCTTATTGGTGTTGCTTCTTCTACACACACACGAACATAGTTTGAGTACGCTCTGTGCTACCATTCAGGATTACTAAATGTTCGCAAAAGCAATTAGAAGGAACAGCAGTTCTGACAAAGTGAGCTCAGGTTTTTTTATTTCTTCGACACGATTCTTAGTTTAAAGTTTTGAAAGGTAAAAGGTTTGAAAGTTCCAGGCCGCTTTTTGATCCAAAAAGAAGTAACTCTTGAGTCAGTCCAAAAATAGCAGGGAAATTTCAACTTTAGTGCTTTCAAAATATTCTTGCCTAACGTAGCTGGCAGCAATTCCACTCTTAATTTTAACCTCGCCAAAGTAAAGAACTTTAGTGGGGCTGCCCTATTTTTACAAGCAAACAAAGACAGATTTAATTTTTTTATTATTGGTTGTAAAACGTAAAAAATATCTCATAGGCTTTTATATTTTCTTCCGCGAAGCAATGTAATTCGAGATTTCTAATATCAAAGTTTCGAGAGCACGAAAAAGTAACGAGAAATGGAGAGTTCAGACATTTGAGACAGCTCCTCAGGTCATTTTCTCTAGTGAAAAGGTCAAATCTTCAGGCAGTTGTTCATCTTTGTCTAACGGCGGACCAAATCTTTTGTACTACACCCTTTATTCTGACACTGAAAGTTCCTGAAATCCCTATTGCATCAAGTATTCGATCTTTTCAAAAGTTTTGAAATCTTTTATTTCTGTCGGTTTATATCTGAAGAATAATATATTTTGAATTAAAAATACAGAAAATTCTTTGAATTGTCTAATGTCATGCAGAAGACCTTAAATGGGAAATTTTCTGTATTCAAAATTAACGCCATCTTTTGAGAATATCAATAAATAATTCTCAAAACCTGAGAAGCGTTGAAAGAAAACATTAAACAAAATTTAAGAATAATGCAAGCTTTTTTATTGCAAGTATTTCCAAACATTCACTAAATTTGCCTTTGAATTTTAACGTCATATATTGTACGTTTAGTTTCTAATAAATTTTCAGTTAACTAATGTAAGAGCATTTTGCCTTTCAGAATTTATTGCATCCAACTTCAAAATAAAATATAGTACTTAAGATATCCCATGTAAGAATTATTCTAATAGAATTACACGTTGTTATCTAGAAATTCTTTTCTTCCAGTTTAGAATTTGGAACAGAATGTCTAGCGAAGTAACGGCGTAGTTCATCGTATGCCAGAATGAGAAATCCGAAAGGTAGACCCATCAACAACCATACGAACCTGCAAAACAAAAACAGATAAATCTAGTATAACCATTTTATTGATAAGTGTGGTTTATATCAATGCGTAATTTGCCCTAAGAGCGACCTCGGAATCCAAGAATATTTTGGTATTATAATTAACCACGATTACTATGACAATATGGAAGTTTGTTAATGTATTAATCTGTTTAGTTCACAATCTAAGGTTTTGAAAAATGTATAGTGGAAGGAATTTGAAGCACTTAATTTAATTTAAAATTTCTTAGAACAACATATGAATACTATTTAAACACTGAACTTCTGATAATTCCGATACCTTGCGGTCTGGAATTTCCAATAGACAGTCTTCCTTGCTGGAGATAAAAGTGTTTAAGTCCCTACAGTGTTGCCGCTGCCCCTTTTGAATTTGTTGAGTTTTTTTAATCAAAAATTTCTTAAAGTTTTACAAAATATGAAATAGACAATAAAACAAATTCGAAATTCAAATTTCAAGATTCCAGGTGCACATGATCTGGTGGAGGATTATGTTATTCAAAATTTGATGACTCTAGTTACCATTGTGTTTTCTCAATGCGAGGAACATACATACATTCATCTATATTCTTCATTATTTAGTTTCTTTAAATATAATACAAGTAGTAATATTTTTGGGTAACAATTTGAAAAGTGATTCGGTCATTTAAAGAGATTCGACGCAAAATGCCATTTTGAGATTAACAGTCCTTCTGGGCTAACGACCATTTGAGCTAAAAATTGATTAAATTTTTTATTTTATTTACTAAATAACTATCAAAACTTACCTAAACAATAATAATAAATGACGTAAAGAAGAACTTAAAATTTATACTTATCTTCTGTCTGAAATCTAAAGGATGATATCTGGAAGAAATTTCCTTTGGTCACACTTTATAATTTAAACATATTGACAGCTAAGTAATAAAATTTTCAGACTTATGTCCATTTGAAATTATTTTAATACATTGAATTAACCACTAAATAATTTACTTATCTCAAAAATGAACAAATAAGGAAAACTTCCCAGGCGGGAAAAAACTTGGGAATAAATTATGACAGCCCATTCTTTTTCTTTTATTTAATAAATTTTTCTTCGACGTAAAAGTAAGAAATACATATATTTATAAGGAAACTATTACAAGTAATTTTTTTTACTATAACTTTTTGTTACAATCCCTCATAAAATTTCTATCATCAAAGTATTAACCTTTGAGAAAAATTACTATTAACTATCTTCGTCACGAATTGTATATGCTCATCGGTCAATCGGGTTATTTTCTTTGAATTAATAAATTAAAAAAATCTGTTTACATAACATACTCTCAAACAAAGCGATTATTATTTATTTTTGTCTAATCAATTATTTTATGTTAAATAGCTTTGCTGTCGTACTCCTTTTCCGTTTTCCCACCAGAATGCAAATTGTAGTTCTCGCGTTTTCATGAGATAGGAGGTAGAATAACCTCATAATGAGGTAGAAAGAGATAGTGTTTAAAGTAAAGCTTTAGATTGTTGAATCAGAGCGTGTTCCACCTCTTGAAGGCCACGTTACTAGTTGAATCCCTTCGATTAGCTGTCGGTCTGCGGCGTTGCTTTATTCTTGCCATTAGGTTTCTCACACCGGCTTAGGTATGAAACAGTTTGCGCGTTATTCTTTCTGTCTAGGCTTTGGTTAACTTGTCTAGTTTTACTTTAAATTCATTACTTTTGAGTTACGTCAAAAATGCAGGCTGGTTTTGTAACCATAAGACGTGCGTTCTATTAAATTACTGCTGTAACAAGACGGCAATACTTATTCTTCAAAACAGAGCATCTGCTCTAGGTCACGTGACGCGATTTTCGCCAAAATATAAACATTCTTTACAGGTCATGTGACACAATGAACTCTAGAGTGAGGACTTGGAACGCGTCGCGCGAGTTTTGTAGCTAGTAACACTCTCTCACTTTTATTATTTCTTTTCGTGTGTTAATTCATACATAAGTTGGTGTTCGTCATACTTAATTGTTTTAATTATTAACCCCGAGATGTTATACTAACACCAATTTATATATGAATTAACACACGAAAAGAAATAATAAACGTGTGAGAGTTTTTTTAGCTACAAAGCTCGCGCGAAGCGTTCCAAGTCCTCAGTCTAAAGCTCGTTCTGTCACATGACCTGTAAAGAATGTTTATATTTTGGCGAAAAATCGCATCACGTGACCTAGAGCAGATGCTTTGCTTTGAAGAATGACTCATGCCGCCTATTACACTAGATTTTAATGAAAGGGTCGTTTACACTCTTCTTACATTAATTGTCTTCTTACTGAATCTGTCCTCTTACTTCAGTCGCTTAGCTTCAAGTTTAATCTTGGATTAGTTTATGCTTCTAAAGAAAGTGAGATTCTGCAACATTAACCCCTACTATATCTCTACTATAATTCATTATTTTCAATATTCTCATGAAAAGCAACAGCTTCTTTGTAAGACATTGAGACTGCTTTCATTAAATTTGGGTTTATAATCGAGGATAATAATATCTTTGCACTCTGCGTTAAAGGAGGCTCAATGAAGTGTCTTCTGTCTTCAACAAAGATATTATAATCTCAGTGCATGAACAGATGAATAACTTATAAAAAAGTGTTCGAAGAATGTGGAAAGATTTTCTAAGGCAGTGTTTCTTAACTGGATTTACTCCAAGGACCGGTAAAATATTTCGGTACGTTCTCGCGGACCGGTTAGTTTAATAATTCGACGCATTTGCACAATTTTACCACATAAATAAATTATGAAGACAAAAATAATTTTTAAAGCTTTTTATTTGTTATAAATTACGTATGTACATTCAAATTACTTAAAATATTGCATCGAGAATAAAACTACCAAAATTTAACTAAAACTCCAAGAAAATTCCAATATGAATGATATATTTATTTTTTTAATTAATATATTAGCAAAAACAAAAATAAATCGAAATGCAAACAGAGTAGGTAGGTACAAAATAAGTAAAAAATAATTTATCAAATTAAAGGAAATAAAAACTAAAATCAATGAGATTGCTGCTGGTCTCTGTTGCTGACTAAAGTGTCAATCCTAGGCGTTAAACTAGTTACAGCAATACGTAAAGCAGGCGCAAGAGCAAGTCGATTTCAATGTTTCGTTTTAATAACAGTCATAGCCGAAAATATAGTTTCACACAAATAAGTTGAGGAAAAAGGCAATAAAATCTGCAACGCCTTTGCATGAAGATTAGGGTATTCTGTTGCAGTCTTTATCCAGAGCTGATATATACTTACTGAATTGAACTGTGATTTAAGTCCTAGATCTGAAGATAATTCAATAAGTTCTGTTTCCTGTACTGTTGTAAGACTGTTATTGTAATTATCAATAAATCGATTGATTATCCACAGATTACCTGAGCTCACATCTTCTTCTGGGGGGGGGGGGGGAGTAATACTTACCAAAAGCCACAGAAAGTTCATTTAAATCTCCAAAATGACGCTGGTAACGCTCTTCTGTTTCATGTCATTAGCATTAATGCAATGAAAGAAAGAAGCAAACATATCAGAAGTATTTTCTTCCGTACGTTTGTACCCGAGTTTCAATTTCTTCTTGAAAGCATCAATCTTATTATAGAAGTTGAAAACGGTATTATTTTTACTTTGAAAGACATAAATTTAGTTCGTTTATCAGTGAAAATATGTTTGATAGGTATGAAAACAAGGCTACCCATACTTTGTTCTGAAAATGTCTGCTCAATAATGATCCTTTCTGATTTAAAAACAATTGTACCTCATTTCTCAACTCATACAACCGGTTAAGGACTTTTCCTTTGAATATCCAGCGTATTTCGGCGTGCAACAATAAATGTACATGATCCGATCCCATTTCTTGACATAAAGTTGTAAACAATTTTGAATTAAAAGCGTTACTTCTGATAAAATTTACAATTTTTATCGATTCTAGAAGAATGTCATTCAGTTGTGGGAACAATTTCTTTGCTGCTAAATGGTCACGATGAATAATGCAGTGAGTGACTACTAATTCTTCTGATGATACGTCTGTTAGTCTCTTTGCAACACCTGTATGTCTTCCAGTCATAGCAGCATTACTTTCAATGTAATTGTTAACTGCCTTAAATGTTTCAGCACTGGTTGTTTGGGATGGTAGTTAAATACAGCACATCAGTTCTTTTCTAATGTCATTGATTGCATAGTCAATACAACGAACATAACATAATAATATGGCACTATTTGAGACGTCAGTTGACTCATCCATTTGAACAGCAAACCATTTCGATTTACGAATATCTTGCAGTAGTTGACTTTCTATGTCGTATAATAACTCACATAGTCTTCGTCCAATAGTATCATTGGATAGAGTTTTCATTTTAACTGCAGCAGATTGGCCCAACACTTCACAACACACCTCTATCAAGCAAGGTTTGACAAGTTCTTCAGCACCTGAGTATGGTTTCTTAGATTTTGCAATACATAGAGCCCCTAGATGCGATGCTTTAAAAAACGATTTATAAACCGAGAAACATTTTTTAAAAGCATCCATTTGAATTTTATCTCCAAACATTTTCTTTGGAAAAAATCCAGGGGTTTGCTTTCGAGTGTGGGTGCTTCGTTTGTGAATGCCGCGGAAGCTTGGAAGGTTTCATGCTTTTGTTTGGAAGAAGTTTTGTTTGTTTTTCTACAAACAATACATTCAGGTTTTGGACAATTTTATTCTGATTGTGGCCAAAAGACGAAACCATATTTCAAATAGTCTGCGATGTAGTGCTTTACAAAACTTTTACTTTTTTTGGCAGATTATGGACTATATTCATCTTCATCTGTATTCGAAAGAGCGTACGACGTACTTGGTTTTGGAGAATCCTTTCTTTGCACGAAATTTAGTAATGTGCTTTTCGTTTCCTTCTTACTCATCCTGGTTATTGATTTTTTATGTACCTACAGTTACAGAAATAGTAGTTATAGCACAGTATTAAATTCAGAAGTTATTAAAAACTAACGCTG